TTCATTATTTTCATGTTTTTGAACATATTTGCAAATGATGATATTTTTCATTTGGGAAGTCCTTTTTCGATTTTTTTTTGTTTCGAAACCAGTAGTTGTAGCATGTTTATTATCATGTTACAACCTTTCCCAAAGTTATACATTTTTTTTGGAATTTATTTGATATTTTAAAACAGCATTTAAAATCAGCAAAACTGTTTTCTTCAGAAGTGTCAGATTTCAGGTCGCCGTACCGGTCGATCCGACCTTGAGGTCAAAAGTTCACTGGCTGACAGATAGCTGTTTCGTCGACCGGTCCGGTCGACCGGATGAAATTTATCGGTCCCGACGAATTTTCCCGGTGACGCTCGACGTGTCTCTCAGCTTCCAACGGCTAGTTTTTGACCGTTTGCTGGGGGCTGTTTTGTCTTTCTGCTTGGGTTTTTGGGCTGAGTTCGTGAGAGGTATAAATACCCCATTGCCTTCCAATTCAAAGTTAATCCAAGAGAGTTTTAAAAACAAGTTTAAGAAAGTTTTAATCAAGGGTTTATGTTTGGTTTAAGTGTGTTTATAAGCTTTTAAGCATTTGAGTGTTTTGGTTTTGTGAATCACTTCCACAAGAGCTTGAGGAGATCATCTATTGGTGTTTGAGCATCCAACTCTTCTCCTTCCACTCTTGATCTATTGAGAAGTTTTCTAAACTCAATCTAGCTTCATATTTTATATTGTTTGATTATCTTTTTATTAAGCTAGTGTTCATATTGAGTTTAGTTGATTTTATTATCTCTTTGTTCACACACAACCTATTGAGCTTATTGTATTTACATTCATAGTATAATTGGGTTGTGAGATTGTGTATCTTAGAGAGTGAGCTTACAATTCGTTCTCATCCATTGTAGAGAACAAACACTTTGTATTGAGCCTTAATTGTGAGGATACACTTTGTAATACACTTGTACACCAAGAGAGAAGTGTGTGGCGAGAGTCGGGGATCGTCCCAAGAGGAGTGGGGTAGGTGACGAGAGGTTGTAATTCCTAACACTTGAGGGAGACACGTCTAGTTCCAACACTTAGTGGGTGTAGAGTGTGATTGCAAGAGTGTTGATTGTAAAGTTTTCGGTTAGCTAGAAAACCGAGTGTGAGGTGTAAACGTTATTCGGGTGAACGTAGAAAACCCGGTTGTGATAGTGGAGATCTCCTCGAGGTGAGGAGCGGGGACGTAGGTCGTGGGGACCGAACCTCGTAAACATATCCTTTGTTTGTGTTTGCATTGGCGCACTTGTTTTCATGTTCATATCTTACATCGTCATTGTGTATTGCTTGTTGATCATTTTACCCTATCACATTTGTAGTTAAATTGTTTACCCCTTGTGTGAGTTGAGTTTATATATCCTTGCTCATATACTTGTAATATCTCATTGAAAGGATATATTCGTTTGTTCATATTACTTATCCTAGCTTACATATCTTGTTGTATTTCATACTTGCTAGGATAACGTATTAATTAATTTTGATTGGCATTTAATCGGATTAGATTAGCATAAGACCCTAATCACCCCCCCTCTAGGGTCTAACAAGATCTACACGAAGTAATACTCCGGATCAAAGCTTGGCCTTTGATCCCGAGAACTAAAGGCTATTATTTCCTTGATGAAATAGTACCCCCCGGCTGTTATTTCCTTAGTGAGATAACACCCGTTAAATCGTGTAGATCCGACCGGATCTAGATCGCGCGGTGGTCCACGGATTAACCCCGGCGTTGGCAAAGAACCCACTAAAGCGAGTGACCGCAAAACAGGAGCTCGTGATTTGTTCGACAAATAAGGAAAGAATTGTAGTTTTCTTATTTTTTTCTTTGATTTTGTTGTAACCGGATCTTATAAAAAGACCGGATCTTTGTAACCGATAAACTGTTAACAAAGGAATCAATGGAATCAGTAAAGAAAACAATTTTTCCCGCGAACAACACCATACAATATCGGTTTTCAATGCTAACTGATCAACGTTCACAATCACTCACAATGTAACTACACAAATTACTATCTCAAGTGTTGGCCTCTCACGTGTCTCCCTCAAGTGTTCAGAAATTATGACCTACCTCTAGGCTTTACCACCGACTCCACTTATCTTAGGACCGACCACGTCTCTCACCTCTACACTCCTCTGGGTGTATTTATGCAATTCAAAGTGAATCCTCGCAATTAAGCTCTCAATACAAATAAATTATTCTCTACAATGGATCAGAACACAATGTAGGCTCACTCTCTAAGTCACAAACCCACAATCCCAAATTATACTATGTATGAAAATACTAAAAGCTCAATGTAGGTGTGTGTAATAAGAGATAAAACAAATATAAACTCAATTTAAATCTAGCTTATGGCAATTAAGATCAAACATATAAATTGCTAGAATTGAGTTTAAGAAAAACTTCTCTATGATGACAAGAGAGAGAGAGAGAGAGAGAGAGAGAGAGAGAGAGAGAGAGAGAGAGATGAATTGAAGCTCAAACACTAAAGGATGATCTCTTCTAGCTCTTGTGAAAATTTCTTTACAAACTTGAAACTTGTAAACATACTAAACAAACTTAAACACACTTTAAAACTTGTTTAAAACTTTTCTTCTTGGTAGCTCAAAATATTTATGGAAAAGGGGTATATATAGGATGAAAACCAAAGCCCAAAAACCAAGAAAACCTAGCAAAAAGACAAAAAAATAGAAAGCTAGAAAAACTAGCCGTTACAGCATCAATCGCCTGATGAGCTGACCATTATAGGCAGCTTATAGCTCATCAGTTGACTGATAGATCTCGTCAGTCGACTGATGACATCAGTCGACTGATTAGTCGACCGAATAAAAAACAAAAACTTTTTACAATTCCAAGCGATTTCTTCAGTCGACTGATAACAAGTTATCAACCTGATTAAAATAGTAAATCTGATTTTTGAGGTGCTTTTAAAAATAGCAAATAAATTTTAAAAAATATAAAACTTTGGGGAATGCTTATAAACATGATAATACACATGTTACAAAAAGTATTTTTGGAATTGTACTTCACATTTGTAAAATCTCATCATTTTTTAAAACTAGTCCAAAACATGAAAATGAACATACTTGAAATTTGACATTTTGACTAAACCATGTTTTGAAACTTTACAAAATGATTTTATAGACTTAATAAAAGATGTATATCATGATTGTTAAGTCCAGAAACAAATAACTTAATATTATACAAAAATTCAAACAACAAATATGATTTCATTAAATTTAAACTTGTTAAAGATAAAATCATATATGTGCATATACAAACATGAAACAAAAATGTATTTTCCAATTTTATTCAATTGTTTCATATTTAAACTTGAAAACCAAAAACCAAAATGTGTATATATATATATATATATATATATATATATATATATATATATATATATATATAAGAAACCAAAACTTGTATGTGTGTATATGATTGAGCTTAAAGTATTAAATACACATAATATAACACCTAAATTAATTTTACCCAAGCTTGATAGATCTTCATTGAGCTCTTCTTGGTAAACCTGCGGATGAAGCTTGGTCTTGAATCTTTAACTTGAATCACATTGCTTCACTCTACTATTCTGCCAACCTCCATTAAATATGATTGTAAAAGCTCGATTTCATCCAACCTCTAACATGGTTATTTGTGTAGATTATCTAACAAAACAAATGCAAATACTCGACACACGTTGTTAGGAATTGTTTATAATCATCAAAATAAGATTACGGAGTAGGCTCATAAACATGAGGCAAACAGAATCAACTAGTTGAGTTATTGATTCATCAATTGGTTGACTCAAACCTTCCAACAACAACACATCACAGACTTCCATAATAACTTCTGCAGGTTCATCAATGGCATGATCAACAAAGATTTCAATTGCCTTTACCCTTTCTGCATGCACTAACATTTCAATTAAGGATTTTTCATCGTTTAGAGACCTCAATATACCATTTCCAACTCCTACACCAGGAACACAGTAGAACAGGCATTTGATATTGTTATACCCAATTGTTTTAACCACATCCATCAGTATTTCTATATCCAGATCACCTTTGTCCATAAATATGACATCAAATCTACCACCAACATAATCTTCAACCCAGCCAAGTGGGAAATTGCCTCAATGTCTGATTTTAACCAAGATTTGGACACCCATCTACAATATCACAATAAAAAACCCTAATTTCAACCATGCATTTCAACCCATCAAATCTACCCTAATTAGTTTCAAAGATATAAAATTTGCACTCATCTTTTCCACTACGCCAAAGACGATAATGGAGATGAAAGCTATTCACTTCGATCGTCTGTAAAATTGGGGAAGTTGACAGCTATGGGGTTTAGGGGAAGAGAAGGGAATCAGAGAATGAGAGGGATTATTTTTTCTGGAGTTTTCTACAGAAGCCCATCGATTCCTTCCCGCTTAATACCGTCACGTCTGAGTCCACGCTGGAGTCCACATCGGAGTCACGTGATCTGTCACGTAAGAAAAATGGCTAGAAAAAAATTAATTCGGCCAAACTTAGGGAGTATATAACGCCGGAGTCTACATAATATACCAATTTGACAAAAGTTAAAAATTTTATATCATTCTATCGCATGGTGTCTACAAAATATACCAATCTAGCTATTTTGCCCAACAGTTTATATAGAAAATGCCCTCACGTCTTCCGGTCAAAGACGACGAAATACGCCAGGGCCAAGTGTAGAACAGTAACATGCAAAAAGGCCCCCAACATTCTCCAAAACTCGCGAAACCTCGCATCAGAAAAGGTTCTGCAAGGACTCAGGGCGTTGAGGAAAGAGGACTTCAAAGCAAAATTCCCTCAAGAGACAAGTAAACGGCGTGAAAGGTTGACGGTGACATTGCCGTCCACATGTACCAAAAGAGAGGGGGTATTATCGTCATTCCCTAATGCCAGTGGGGTTTATCAGTGTTTTTATTCCTTGTACTTCAACGCCCGTGATTTTTTTTTAATTTTCCTTTCTCTTTTTTCTTCCATATATTCTCAAAAAATAAAGAAAGAAACTAAAGAAATTAGGGTTTCTACTTAATCTCTATCCCTAAAATTCCGAAATCTTATCCTTTAATCGCGAGAGGAATTCCATTCGTTCGAATTCACTGTCCATGCGTCGCGAAATCTGCGATATTAAATGCTCCAATTTTGATTATATTCGCGAGCATTACTGCGATTACGTCGCGATTAAGGTTTTCTAGGAAAAGATTTCGATGTTTCTTGTTATTTATGGGTGAGTTGGAGCTGTTAAGGTTGTATCGCGCTGCCAGAGGTTTTATAAGTTGAAAGGTTTGAGCTTTTTGTGGGTTCTCTTCGCTTTAATTGTTGGAGAAGGGTGATAATCTGGTGGATTTGAAGGACTACTTCTTTGAGCTTTTTCTCGTGATTTTCGTTGAGAAACAGAGGCATTGTTGAATATTGAAGTAAAACACAACGTCTTTTGGGAGGTATAGCTATAGAATATTTCCAGGTATTTTTTCGAGAAATGTCAGATTCCTCTCTCATTTTCCAGTGTTTGTATGGTAGTTTTTGCTGAATGTGACTTAAGTGGAAACCCCATTACTTAAAATTTCTCTGAAGAACCCCAAAGCCCCAAGCATGCTATATAGCTTTTGGTATCAACAGTTAAATAGATCCCTTTGTTGATTTCACAAGTGAACAAAGCGATCTTACCATTGAGATTATACTTCCCGCTAAATCTCTTCTGACCATCAATGGAGTACATTTGGCGAAACCATCATGTCTTAATTCTTGTCACCTTGATCACAATTATTTCTGCATGTCAACAAGGTAAATCCCAATCTCGCAATCCTTCCACCACTTCCTCAAGAGAATTGGATTCACTCCTTCAAGACTATGCATACCGAGCATTCAATCATCCCCACACTGGCACAATCTATGATGCTAATGTACCTTCAAACCTCACAGGCATTAAGCTTGCCGTTATTAGGCTGAGAAGTGGGAGTTTAAGAACAAGAGGAGTTGCGAGTTACAAGGAGTTTCAAATGCCCATGGGAGTTATCGTTCAACCTTATGTAACTAGGCTTGCCTTTGTGTATCAAAACTTGGGAAATTGGTCATCCTTCTACTATCCTTTACCTGGCTTCACATACCTCACTCCGGTCATCGGTCTGCTTGCTTATAAAGCTTCGGATCTTACGGCTACCAACTTGGATGAGCTTGATGTTGTAGCTTCAGAATCACCTATTACTGTCAAATTCACGGATGTGAGACCGGTTCCTAGTGGGCTAACTGCTCAGTGTGTTTGGTTTGATTTGGATGGATTGCCAGAGTTCAGAGACTTGGTATCTTCTGATATATGTTCCACATATAGGCAAGGTCACTTCTCCATAGTCGTGAATGTCACTGGGTTAGCTCCTCCTCCAAGCCCTGGTCCTGTTCCAACTCCTAGTGGTAAAAAGACCCATAAGTCAAGGGTGTGGAAGATTGTGGTCTCTGCAGTTGGTGGATTCATCGGTTTGGTTCTTTTGGGTTTGCTTCTGGTTTGGATACGAAGGTATACTATGAACACGAAGGTGACCGAGATGGAGAGAAGGGCAGAGGTGGGCGAGTCATTGCAAATGGCTCGTGTTGGGGCAAGTCAGGCACCGGTTGCTGCAGGCACACGAACTCAACCGGTTCTTGAAAATGAATATGTTGCTTAAATTGGTCTTTTTCTCAAAATTGAATGACATGGGGAGCAAAGATTTGGCGGAAGACTTAATTCAACTGTTTGATATGTACAGCTTCAATTGGTTTATAGCTTTGTTCCTTCAGCAATGATTGGGTTTAGGGTTTGTGATGGTTTTCTTTTGGTTTTGGTAAATCACACATTTGTTTTTTTAGGACGTTGAATTTTGGTGTTTAGATGGTTGATACGGGCAAATTCTGCAAGAATTTTGACTGGAGATGTTTCAACTGTTTCAATCATTTTTTTTTTGCAAAGATGATGTATGTGATTGAATTTTGGCAAATAAAGCTGAGGGTTTTATTGGATTTCATTCTCTTGAATTCCTCTATAGTATCTCCGCTTCTTTTGATTCTGCACGGAAATTATCTTCTTTTCTTCAGTGATTTCTGTTGCTACTTTTTAGGACCAAAGGAAAATGAGTGCTAACAGCAGATAGAGATGATAATTCAAAATGCATTAGGCGCTATTGTGGTTGTTGATGGCTTGGTCTCATACTCTCACTACAAATGTCTGTGGTTAGAAAAAGATTGTGTTAGCTTCCGGTCTTAAGTTCTTTTCAGTCATAACTACAGAAAGCCAGACGTAACGAGGATATATATACTTCCATACCTAAAGTCATTAAATTTTCTTAGCACTTAACCATGAGAACAATATTAACTTGTATTGGTAACTCTTGTGTCCCGTACGATTGAGTAATCATGAGAGAAAATAATAATAATAATAATAAACTTGTCTCTCGTTGATAATGAGCTCGGTTATGCAATGCCCCCAAAAACATCATCAAATTCCTACTTTGTTGCCGATGACTACATTGCCTGCCACGAGGCAGGACTCGAACTTAAAACATCAGTAATTCTCTTTTGACTCTAAATTTGCTTTAAATTTGTGGTATGTGAATTGGGATTCCTAATGATTCCATGTCAAAAACATCTACCACTAGTTCAAAATTATGAAGTTTTGCTAAGGATTGAGGGTTATAATTTTATACTTTAACATCTATAAGACCCCAAAATCTCTCTCTAATTTGCTCCTCTTCTAATTAGCTTAAATAGACAGTTTTTACATTTCATATTTTTGGGGGTAATAAAGATAACTGAGTTAGCTAAACTAGCTTGGCAACTATTAAAATAGCAACTATATTCTCAGCATATTAAAGAATGAGGACAATAATAAGAGGTTCAATGAAGAATAATGGCATAATGAGATGCAATCCATCAGCTATATAATCGTTCGTGTACTACTATATAATCGTTCATGTACTGCCAGAAGCTGAAAGGGCAAAAGTAAAGAAAAACCAATATTTAGCCTTAATTCTTCTTGCCCTTGTCATTACATTAACAGGCAAGATTTGGTACCAATAAAGCTAGCATTAGACATTGGCACATTAAATTACACCATTGAATGATACTAGGTTAGGCCTGCAAGGTGGTAGTTTCTCATTATTATTCATATATTTTCTCTGCATTCAGAATGAATTCTTGAGGAATTTTTAATGGACTGGAGAACCTACGGAATTTCATCCAAGATATGCTATAATTTGGGTTTATAATATAGAAAATCTAGGGTCATCTACGGTTCATTGAAATTTTATCTGCTAACAAATTTTGTTTAAATACAAACACCAATTTTAGCCAACTTGTGGTTGACCTGTATCCAACTCACGAAGGAAAAGGGAACCAACGTTGTAGGATAGGATAGGCCTGCAATCTGCGAGTGTGGCTGGTCAGAAAATTATGTATAGCTGGGTTTGATAAAGTGGTCCCATTAAATTGATTAAAAAGAAAGCACGTTGTTTAGAGAGTAAGTTTAACTTAGCACAGATTTTTACTACTTGCTACATGATTTAAAATTCCCAAGGAATTTTTGTTTCTAGATAACTTGTGTTTATTACTTCACTTAAAGACAACATACAAAATTTCAATTTATAGATTTAGATTTAAATCTAGATTTTTAGGATTCATTTCTTAAAAATAATCAATAGTAGTCACTTCTTGAATAAGAGAGTGCTAACTATAGTTGCGAGTGCACTGCACTCGCGTTGTAGCATGGACATGTGTCCATACATGTCCCTATATGAGGCACATGTCCCAGCCACAGCACGAGTGCACCCACAGCACGAGTGCGGTGCACTCGTGATTGTGGCTAGCATTTTTCCTTGAATAAATAAGGGTGCAAGTCGCCTTACTTTAATACGAGTAGCTAAAAAATTTTCAAAAAAGCTTCAAAGAACAAATAAAAGTTGTAATCAAGAAATAACTAATCATTGAGAAGATGGTGCTAGAATAGCAATAATATGTGCATGAACTTTCAATACATTTTATGTAATATTCTTGAATATTAATAAAGATTTTATTGTTGCACATATAGTTTGGATATCGTTTATATAATTGTTATATATCCTTAAAAATTATTTCGTTAGATCATGCACTATGATTGTCGCTTGCTTGGAGATGTGATCTAACTTAGAGATTTTTTAAACTTGTGGTTAACCTATAACTAGTAAAAAATAACTTAGTTATAACATGTTATTATATTATACATGACACTAACATATAAGCACATATTGTTACGTGTGCACTAGACCGTACTTGAATTCTCTTGAAGAAGTCAACTAGGAGATGGAGAATTCAGATTGTTACATGGTCCCTTTGACTTGATGCTATTATCATTTTCGATTTAATAATTTAGTATGCTTTGATGAGTTAATTTGTTACGCATTTCCATGAACTTATTAAATCCCGCCAACGAGTGGTTTTGGAAAATATTTTTTTGTAAATTTATTTTCTTATAAAATAAAATATTTTGATATTTTAAAATATTTTTTATTTATGTTTATGGGGATTGTAATTTAGGCATGAGCAAATAGATGAAATGTCCTGCTAAAAAAGAGTTACCTAAAATAAATAATATTAGAGGGGACTTATTGTAAGATATTATTTTTAAATAATTAATCTTATATTATGGAAGAGGATTTATGAACAGTTGGTCGGATAGGGATTGATTATTAAATTAAAATTATTAATTTAGTTAATAATTGGTTTTCGATATAGAACTCAATTGGTCTCACTAATTGTAGGCGTATAAAACTGCCTATAGGTCCCTTAACACAGCTCGACAACGCCGATTCGACGAACC